ATATATATATATATATATATATATATATATATCCATGTGCAAATTAATTGAAACAAAACGAATAAATCCATTATTTTTTCGTATTTTTCCAATGAAACATGACCCAATGCATTTCTTAGTACTTTATATGTCCATTCCACGAAGTCGTTCCTTGCAGATTGGACACAGATTATGGATTAGATTTAAATCAGGTTTATTTCCGGGCCAGTATATAGAACTTAGATTTGCTCACTAGTAAGGCTTGCCGTTGCGTTCGTGCAGCGTTACAATTTTCGTACGCTTCCTTGGAGTAACGTCCATTGGAGAGAATGGCCGTAGGACAACTAATCGACAATCGAGACAATAGGGTCTGGGTGTGATTAAAATCAGATGCAATCACGGATGACGCAATATTTTTCAAGGCCAAACAAATTTCATTATACTCCCCGAAAATAGATGCATATTACAGCACACCACTGCAAATGACCTAATCTGATGAAAAAATAGAAATCGATTACACCCTTTCACTCCAGTGGGTCTAAAACTGACCGCATGGTGAAAGAAAGGAAACTAAAGCTGTTGTTTCAATTAATTTGCACATGGATGCAACTCGTGGAAGCCAAAGAGAGTAGGCGGTCTCGGTGAAACGCGTTGTTAATAAATTTTCCACTATCTCTCAACATCTTCGCATTATTTACTGACGATTGCATATAGCATGAAACAGACTGTCGCCTCTAAGTGTTGACTTCTATGTTCACTTTTATACCGACATATATATATATATATATATATATATATATATATACTGACATATATATATATACAGACATATATGTGTTTATGTGTGCGTCCATGTATAAATTACCACCAATGCCCATTTATCACAGAATTACCACCAAGACATCTGTAGTTGAAGGCATAAAATTGTCTTTAAAATATTTAGATTTCATTATTCAATAATCCTTAGAGATTGATATGCCGCAAAACAAAACCTACCGACCAACCGACATGAAAGAATTCTTTCATGACATTAATCCATATAATATCCTAATCCATTAATCCATATAATACCCTAATCCATTAATCCATATAATATCCTACAGTTTCTTAAATCAAATTGTATTCCAAAATACGACTTCAATAAAACAATATAAAACACCATATCATCGCCTCTAGTATTATGTCCACACAAACATTTATATGCACAAAATCTGAGTATCATCTACCATTTACTCAACTGTGAAAGCAGAACAACATACATATAGTTTTCATTGCTTCCAAGTTGCCATGAAAATTACGGCATTAAATGACCCATAAGGAGTTGATATACCGTTTAAGAGACAAATCAATCAAATGAAATATAAATATATATATATATAACAAACTCGACTATTATGTCTGCTACTACAAACTCTAAAGAAAGAAAGAGAAGAAAGAAAAGTTGTCAAAAATTAATAATGACAATGCTTTGATCTTTAAAATATTTAAAACTGTTGTTAATAAATTTTCCACTATCTCTCAACATCTTCGATTTATTTACTGATAACATTTTCATTCTCTCTAAAGACTTGACGCAGCTTTCTGTCGGTAAGAAAAAAGAAATTGAGAATTCTTTCAAGTGTAATGTTTTCACAACCCGCAAATATTGCTTCTCAAATTCCAGTTTTGGATACACATTGATTGCTGCCTCATAAACACGCCTCTTGATAATGCTCCAAACATTCTCATTGGGTTAAGATCCGAAAAACATGGCGGCCTCACCATAAGGCCTTGAATTTAAATCCCTAATTTAGTTGAGTGAATCGTTAGTTCGGATGTTCATTATGGTGTAATGGATATCGGCTCGGAGCGAGAACTCGGAGAGCAGAGTTCAAACTCAAGTCGAGTTCTTTAGAGTCAATTACGCACAAATACCCTTGGAAAATCCATGTCTTCTCCCCCAGCTATGAGTTGAACAGCAGGACAGACTAGGTTCTTTAGCCTTTAGTCTACCGCAGAAAGAAATGGCAACCTACTACTAGAAAAAAATCTGCCTCGTCAGTTATGTACCGAAAGAAACATGATTGCCCAAGCGTGTATCACGTATGGCACTTAACTGACTGATCTATCTATCTATCTATCTATCTATCTATCTATCTGTCCTCTTCTTCTAAGATAAAGGGTAAATAGCAGGACAGCCCGCGTTCTATAGCATCTGATAGCTATAGAATGCAGAAAGAAATGACAACCTACTGCTGGAAAAAATAACACATAACAGATTGATCTATCTATCTATCTATCTATCTATCTATCTATCTATCCTCAGCCGACCCCTATCTATCTATCTATCTATCTATCTATCTATCTATCTATCTATCCTCAGCCGATCCCTATCTATCTATCTATCTATCCTCAGCCGACCCCTATCTATCTATCTATCTATCTATCTATCTATCTATCTATCTATCTATCTATCCTCAGCCGACCTCTATCTATCTATCTATCTATCTATCTATCTATCTATCTATCTATCTATCTATCTATCCCCCCCCCCAGGTATGGCACTTAACTGACTGATTGAATCATTAGGTCTTACTGCTTTCATCTCAAGCGATATCCTAGGATAGGACATTAAGAATTTACTGCTGATAGAAGAAGTCATATTTACGCCATTATTCATCTTCCACCGATGATTCCCGCCTGTGATATAACGCCACTAGCTCCTTGCTAGAGTCTTAACAATATTTCTTTATGTTCATCCATCGGACACCACTCATGTGGTTAAATTTCGATGTCCTTTAAGTGTCGCCTTACACTCGTTTGGATTTCATGAACTTTTTGACACAGATGAAACGCTTCGACCTCATAGAAGGGGCATCCGTCGCGGAACTTTCCAGCATGTGGCATCCTGACATTTTTGGCACACTTAAAGCTCTGATGGCTTCGATTGTTTGTTTTTGTTTATTTGATTTTCTTTAGAGGCATATCAACACCTCTATGGGTTATTTAATGCCGAAATCTAAATATTTTGAGCACAATTTTATGCCTTCAACTAAATATATTTGGAATGCAATTGCATGCCTTCAACTAAGGTAAAATGTATATTTACCCATTTTGCTATAAAATATAGTGTTTTTTATTCTACTATAAAATGTATTATTAATTATTAAACGATAAAATGTATTGCTGTTCATTTTGATTTAAAATTTTATTGTTGGTCATTTTAAAGGGTGTTCCAATAACTTGGACCGATTTTAAATGTGAATTAAGTTTAAGTGTTTAATGATTTTTTTTCTTTTTCTTTCAGATTTAACAACTTAAGTCATTGGCAATTTCAACCATGGAAAGATTAACAATCAAACAACGTGTTAAAGTTATTGTAGCCTATTACGAAAATGGACGTTCAAACAGAATTTGAATGAGAAGTTCCCAGGTCGTGTCATCTCTCGAAACAGTGAAATCAATTGGCCACCACGATCGTGCGACTTGACGCCTTTAGTTTTCTTCCTTTGAAATCATCTCAAAAGTAAGGTCTATGCCAATAAGCCAACAACAATTCAACAGCTGAAGGATGAGATGATCAGGCATATTGATGAGATCGAGGAGCAACTATGTAGAGACGTCATCAAAGATTTGGGCCATGGACCGGAGGTGTGTCACTGAAAACTTGGCGGACAGTTGGGCGATATTATTTTTCACACATAATTGCCATGATCCAATAGAGAAATAAATAAATTTTCACCAATAACACTGATTTATTTACTGCTGACTTTGATCCGTCTTAATGAAACACCCTTTACTATAAATATGTATTGTTGGTCATTTAACAATAAATAGTTATTGTTGGTTGGTTGATTTCGTTTAGCGGCATACCAATCTCTATGGATTATTTAATGCTGAAATCTAAATATTTTGAACACAACTTTTTGTCTTCAACTAAATATATTTGAGTATAATGTTATATATTCAACTAAATATATTTTGAACGCAAATGTCTGCCTTCAACTACAAATAAAATGTATTGTTGGTCATTTTCTATAAAATGTATTGTTGGTAACTCTTTTATAAAATATAATGCTGGTCATTTTGTTTTAAAATTGTACTGTTGGTCATTTTACTATTAGTATTGTTGGTTGGTTGTATTTGTTTAGCGACATATCAACACCTCCATGAGTCATTTAATGCCGAATTCTAAGTATTTTGTATGCAATTTTATGTCCTCAACTACAGATAAAATGCATCGTTGGTCATTTTCATATAAAATGTATTGTTGGTTATTTTAATAAAAATTATTAGTAATTTTTTTTTATATATAAAATGTATTACCGGTATTTTTACTCTGAAAAAGGTATTTTTATACTTTCATTTTTGGGGATTCACTATTTGCCATTAGCTAGGACCCTGATAGGTGCTACCACCGCGGGTCAGCGTGGACCTGGAGACAACAGCAATTAAGAAATTATTCCACACTCCTCATAACCGCCAATCTCCCGATGAGAGGCTTTGATGTCGGATGTACTTTATCGTTACATCCAAGACTATCAATGGCTTCGAATAAAAAAATAAAAATTATTAAACTTAAGTATGCGTTTGCGGAGCGTCACAGTTTACTGTCGGGTTGTCTTTCATCCGTTGAGAGAATTGCGTATCTTAATTCTGTCAGGTCGTGCACTGAATGTAACCGACCTTTCTAACGAGTTCATAGGTGGCCGCATGCAAGTAATTTAACAATTTACGACGCTGTTTAATGATCGTGAGACATTCGAACAGTTTTTGCTTTGTCATCGTTGATCAAACATGCATTACGATCAGTCGTGCTTAAAAATTGGAACAGCTAAAATGAAGGCCAGTGAAGAGAATGGGTGGCGTTTATTTCCTGTTGCGCAGAACCCGACATTATTGGACATGTTTGCGCATGTCGGTGTTGCCGAACATTTAGCTGAATTAAGTTCAAATTCATCCAAGAAAAAGTTTTCGTGTGACGCGTTTTGCTTCCAGGAAACATGGTCCGATTAAACGTTTTCTTTTTTTGATATATATATATATATATATATATATATATATATATATATATATATATATATATATATATATATATATTCATATATTAATTAGTCGGAGGATTTGGTAAATTTAATTAATTCATCGAGTCTGATAGAAATCTCAACAGAATGCAGAAAGCACTGTACGGCTGTTTCGTCCTATATTTGGGACTCATCAGCAGTGCGCATCCACTACCGAGAATTGAAACCTTAATACAGTACCTTTCTTTCTTTCTTTCTTTCTTTCTTTCTTTCTTTTCTTTCTTTCTTTCTTTAATACAGTGCCTTCCTTTCGTTCTTTCTTTCTTTCTTTCTTTAATACAGTGCCTTCCTTTCGTTCTTTCTTTCTTTCTTTCTTTCTTTCTTTCTTTCTTTAATACAGTGCCTTTCTTTCTTTCGTTCTTTCTTTCTTTCTTTAATTCAATGCCTTTCTTCTTTCAAAGTTGTTTTCCTTCTTTCTTTCTCTCTTTCGTTCTTTTCTTAATTCAGTGCCTTTTTTCGTTGAATGCTTTTCTCTCTCTTTTCTTCTTTTTCTTCTTTTTTTCTTTCTGTTACTTTCAAGTTTCTTTCTTTCATTGAAATTTATCTTCTCTTTCATCGCATATTCGTTAAGCTTATCTCCTTCTTTCACTATTTTCAAGTTCGTGTAGCTCTCCGTTGCCAAACAGTAAAAGCACGCTTCAGTTGACAGTGATTCATCCTGCCAAAGGACGCATTCTTTTTATTAAATCTTTATCGAGTAGCCAGACCGGGAGACGAGACAAATTAAACGGGGCGGCTACTAAAAATATACCGGATTTTAAAAAAACTATCCATTACATATATTATATGAAATGCGCACACACACACATATATATTTATCTATATCTATATATTCATATCCATCGAGTCTGATAGAAACCTCAACAGAATGCACAAAACACTGGACGGCCGTTTCGTCCTATGTTTGGGACTCATCAGCAGTGCGCATCCACTACCGAGAATTGAAACCCGGACAGTTAGGTTGTCAAGCAAACATCATACCAACTGTTCCAAGTGGGCCTCGGTGACGAAGAGATTGCAAATCAGACTCAACAAAGCGCCGCTCACTCACATATTCCGTGGCGCCAGGGGGCACAGTCCTATGGTTACAGAGAATCTCAGTCGAGTTCCGCCATGATGTACTGTATTAAAGAAATAAAGAAAGAACGAAAGAAAGAAAGAAAGAAAGAAAGAAAGAAAGAAAGAAAGAAAGAAAGAACGAAAGGAAGGTACTGTATTAAAGAAAGGAAAAAGAAAACGAAAGGAAACTGTAAGAAAGAAAGAAAGGAAAGGCACTGTATTAAAGAAAGAAAGAAAGAAAGAAAGAAAGAAAGGTACTGTATTAAAGAAAGAAAGAAAAGAAAAAGAAAGGAAACTGTAAAGAAAGAAAGAAAGAAAGGAAGAATTAAAGCAGGTAAAGAAAGAAAGAAAAAAAACGAAAGGAAGGCACTGTATTATAGAAAAAGAAAGAAAGAAAAGAAGAAAGAAAGAAAGAAAGAAAGAAAAGAAAGAAAGAAAGAAAGAAAGAACGAAAGGAAGGCACTGTATGAACGAAAGAAAGAAAGAAAGAAAGAAAGAAAAAACGAAAGGAAGGCACTGTATTAAAGAAAAAGAAAGAAAAAAAGAAAGAAAGAAAGAAAGAAAGAAAGAAAGAAAGAACGAAAGGAAGGTACTGTATTAAAGAAAGAAAGAAAGAAAGAAAGAAGGAACGAAAGGAAGGTACTGCATTAAAGAAAGAAAGAAAGAAAGAAAGAAAGAAAGAAAGAAAGAAAGAAAGAAAGGAAGGAAGGTACTGTATTAAAGAAAGAAAGATAGAAAGAACGAAAGGAAGGCACTGTATTAAAGAAAGAAAGAAAGAAAGAAAGAAAGAAAGAACGAAAGGAAGGCACTGTATTAAAGAAAGAAAGAAAGAAAGAAAGGAAATTACTGTATTAAAGAAAGAAAGAAAGAAAGAAAGAAAGAACGAAAGGAAGTTACTGTATTAAAGAAAGAAAGAAAGAAAGAACGAAAGGAAGGCACTGTATTAAAGAAAGAAAGAAAGAAAGAAAAAAGAAATAAAGAACGAAAGTAAAGCACTGTATTAAAGAAAGAAAGAAAGGAAAAACGAATGAAAGGCACTGTATTAAAGAAAGAAAGAAAGAAGAAAGAAAATAAGAAGAAAGAAAGAAAGAAAGAGAGAAAGAACGAAAGGAAGGCACTGTATTAAAGAAAGAAAGAAAGAAAGAAAGAAAGAAAGAAAGAAAGAAAGAAAGAAAGAAAGAAAGAGAAAACGAAAGAAAGTTAAAAGGTTTGAAAGAAAGGCGACAAATGAAAGGAAAAAAGAAAGAAAAGCAATGAATTAAAAAAAGAAAGAAAGAAAGAGAGAGAGGAAGAGAAAGAAAACAGCTTTGAAAGAAGAAAGGCAGAAAGGAATGCTTGGAAAATCTCTTACCCACAGTGCAGATGGAGGGGAAAGAGAGACAAGGAAAAGCAACGCGAGACATAACGAGCTTAAGCAAGTGGATGACAGAACAGGGCCTGGGAGAAATAAAAAAAAGAGACAAAACTTGTTCAGAATTACAAGGGAGACGAGATAGAGGGCCATGATCGCCTATGTCATAAAGGGACACGACACATAAAAGCGGTTCAAGGTCATGTTTACGGAGTACGACAAAATAATAAAATTCAATACAAATCTAATTATCACGCCGTGGTGTCATAAGGTCTACAGTCCGTCTGAAGTTATTAAGCAAATCACACAAACCTCAATAAAACAAATTTGCTTCGAACACATTTGTCTAATCTTCAACGATTAAGCCTCTATTTGAATGTCTGCCTCAAGAACCACATTAATGGGTAAATACATGATAACTTTTGTTAGGGGTAAAAAACAATATTTAAATTTAAAAAAAGCATACTAGTAAAATAAAAGACACTTGAGAATTATTTAATAATAGATAGTTAAAGAGGGGGAGCCTTATCATGTATTTATCCATTAATGTTGTCCTTGAACCAGACGTTCATCTGAAAGTTTTTCAGTAGGAGAATAGAATGTTGTCCGTGATAGACGAAGTTGAACTCTTTTTAGGATGTCAAGTCAGTTACTGTTAAGTTTTTGTAAATGAAGCTCAAAAATATATTTCAATTACATACTTTAAGTTAATTAGAACTAAAATATGGAGGTCAGGAGGGTTGTAGCACTGTGACCCCTTTCATTAAATTTTTGCTTCCCCACCCCTCCTCCTCCAAAAAAAAAGTTACTATAGCCTTCCTGTGGCTATGTGGCACCGGGTTAAGAACTACTACAGGAGGATTTCTTTGGTAACAAAGAAAAGAATACTGAGCAGTTATATGACATCTGTCCTTTACGGCAGTGAATGTTGGACGATTTCCTCAAAGATAAAGAAGAGACTCGAGGCGACGTAGATGTGGTTCTACAGAAGGATGCTAAGGATATCGTGGACCGAACATATTGGGATGGCCATGGAAGCATTCCAAAAGCTGGACAGAGTATTGCTAGACAGGAGGATTTCTTTGGTAACAAAGAAAAGAATACTGAGCTGTTACGTGACATCTGTCCTTCTTTACGGCAGCGAATGTTGGACGATTTCCTCAAAGATGAAGAAGAGACTCGAGGCGACGGAGATATGCATCTACAGAAGGATGCTAAGGATATCATGGACCGAGCGTGTGAGTAACGATGAGGTCTTAGAGAGGATGCAAACAAAGAGGAGGCTTATACTTAATATCAGGAAGAGGCAGCTGAAGTTTCTAGGACACATAATGAGGAAGGAGGGCCTGGAGAATCTGATACTCACGGGTCGAATAGAGGGAAAGAGAGACAAGGGAAAACAACGGGTGACATACCTAACGGGCTTAATAAGCAAGTGGATGACAGAACGTGGTCTTGGTGGGGGAAAACAAAGGGAAGGAATTTGTTGAGAGCTGCAACGGATAGAGAGAGGTGGAGAGCCATGATCCACCTACATCCTGAAAGGACATGGCACATAAAAAGAAAAGATCTCGACACATCCGGAGTCAGTCTGAAGTTATTAGGCAAATCACATAAACCTTGATAACTTGAATTTGTTTTGAACAATTTTTGCTGATTTTAAACGATTAATTCAGAAGTCAAAACAAAGCTTGTGTTAAATTTTCTACATGTTTTATTAAAGTTATTGGATTTATTATAAAAACTAAAAACTGAAGTTATTATGCTGATTAAGTTAATATTAGTTAAACGGCTCTGAAACCTAATAAAAACTAACGTTTACTTTTTTCCTTAATATATATTGAAGAATGGGTCATAGTAAGGATCTAACAATCGTTAAAAAACAAAAAGTTATTATGCTGATTAAATTAATATTAGTTAAACGGCCCTGAAACCTAATAAAAACTTGCTTTTAGTTTTTTTCCTTAATATATGTTGAAGAATGGGTAATAGAAAGGATCTAACAAACATTGAAAAACAAAAAGTTATTATGCTGATTAAATTAATATTAGTTTAACGGCTCTGAAGCCTAATAAAAACTAACGTTTACTTTTTTCCTTAATATATATTGAAGAATGGGTAATAGTAAGGATCTAACAAACGTTGAAAAACAAAAAGTTATTATGCTGATTAAATTAATCTTAGTTTAACGGCTCTGAAACCTAATAAAAACTAACTTTTACTTTTTTCCTTAATATATGAAGAATGGGTAATAGAAAGGATCTAATAAACATTGAAAAACAAAAAGTTATTATGCTGGTTAAATTAATATTAGTTTAACGGCTCTGAAACCTAATAAAAACTAACTTTTACTTTTTTTTCCTTAATATATGTTGAAGAGAAACGATCTAAGAAACGTTGAAAAAAAAAAAATAAAAAAAAATAAAGTTATTGACTGATGGAATGTCCCCATTGAAGATATCAAAGGAACTTTGCGGAGATTATCGGACGATAACGAAGGCTGTTGTAAATATAAGTTGAGAACTCGAAGCAAAGGAAAAGGCTTTAAGAACTTGTCTCTTTGAGGGGGAGCTTAAAGCAAAGCAAGTTATAGCGGAACAACCCCTTTAGACCAGTGATTAGATCTTTGTACAGGTTGGAATTGTGAGGGCCAATAAGGACAAATGATACAGAATCCTTCACAAATTCGGATCTGTCAAAAAATCTCCTAAGCAATCTCCTCTCAGTAAAGAAAATATTTGAAAGCGTCAAAATTGGGCCTAGAAATACGCGAAAAGTGACATTTCTAAAATAATTCTCTTGTAGGTAATTGATGTAGGTTTGTTGAAACAGGTTGCTACACTTCTGTGCCATTTAAAGATATAGTGGGTGTTCCGAAAGTCTTGTCGCCACTAAATAATATAATTTTCTATTTCAGATGGCTGTCATGTAAATGATGGATGTTCATACAGATCTTCTCGATGTGTGAGGGCGTCATTGAAAGGGACTAAACTGAATCTAGGACATGTGTTTTGTATTAATGTATTACTTGTTCTTTTATTGTTTTATTACTTATTTTTTGGGAAAGGGTGACATGACTTTGCGACCACCCTGTCTATTTCCATTCTGTTGGCCAGCGTGGCATACT